ATCAACCAAAAAATACGTGGAACACTCGGAATCAGCGGGCTTATCGATTGGTGAAGCTTGCAACTTACGGCTAATGCTCACAGTAAAGTGCAGGTGGATATCAAAGGAAATAGCGACAAAATCATAGAAGAAAGACCATTTTATATTTTTGTACAGGTACGTTCCAACTATCGAAGTGCACTAATAACTGCAAATTTACTAAGAGTAATCTCGATGAGCTGCCATCGCATGCACTGCGCAGCAGCGCTAATAATCAGAAAGGTTGCTCCGTATCAGCAATGAAATGGCATCTCATGCGCAATGTACAATACTATTTTTGACCAACTTGTCTAGGCCGAGGGCAAACGACTGTGGCAGTCGGCTCGAATCATCGGCTGTGAGGAAGCCGAAATACATAAGAACGTTAATTGAGTAGTTTAGTTTTCACCACCTCGTGCTACTGGCTTAATCATTTTTATTTTATTATTTAGTTTACTATAATCCGTGTTCACAATTTTTTTGCACTGTGTGGATCTCAATACTTCTAGCGTTTATTTCGTTTTTTCGTCTTCTTCTTTAGCGTCGTAAAATACTGGTTGAACACGTCTCTTTGCAGTCTCAAGGTTTAAGCAGCTGCGGCGTTCTATTGGCCTTCCGTTATGGTGTGCTGATGAACGATACGGTGGGTACCGGTAGCACGCATACCGCGGCAAGCATCATTACCATTCGGTTGCTGCTCCCCTCTGGCTCAATCAACAAACGATAGATCATGTTTTTGCGATTGTTTTGGCATGTTTCAAGAAAAATATTCCCTTATGAAGTCTCTTTTGTCGTATCCCAACATTCACTGACTCCAAATCCCCCTAGTGACTGTAATCTCCTGGATTTTATTACGAAGGCAAATTCTGAAGATTACGGGATCCATCTGCAGATCGCTCATGGCGATTACCGCCGACTTGAGCTCAACGTGGCGCCGCCTTCCATCAACGGCTGTTTCGAAAAGGTTAACGAACGACGAGAAGGCTGTTGGATCACCAATGACCGATAGCATCATTTCCGATAAATGTCTTGGCTTCGCTATTTTCCACTGAAAGGTGCCATTGACCACTTGATTAAGACCATCACATTTCTCTGTTCTAGAATTTTCTATTAAATTTTTGCATCTTCAATGTTTTCAATGTCTTCATTTACATTTTTTTGTTTCTGTTCCACTAGAGGATATGTTGTGCATTGTGCTTTTCTGTGTATACCCCGAATACTCGTTAGCTATTCCCAAAGTCGGTTCGAATCCAAGACCAATTGGCTTCGAATTACTGTGCACCTCTTGATTGGAACGTTTCTTACCTGTCAGATAGCTAGTAGGTGAGTTCCGTAAACGATCCAGCAAGCACTCAAATATCTGCTTTACATTGTCTTTTTCGTCTAAATGTCAAATCGCAGTCCTCTCGACTGAAATCTGTTTCGGTGTCTTTGACGTTTACTTTGTCATATTGATTATTGTAATAACAAGTGGACCGTTTTTCAGGACAACACTTGACAACTTCCGCAGCTGACCATGTAAAGAAGCAACCGTGCTATCGAGACTGAGTGCCGTAAAGAGGTGTGGATAGAATTTTTTCTTTCCTACTAGAATTTCCCACGTATCAACACTTGTTTGGATTCCCATTTCATGCATTGTATATTTCTATGTCTTTCCTTCTTATTCATTTATTTATTCTTCATTACTACCTTTATTTACATATTATTTGACAAGAAACTTTCTCTATACCTTTTCCTTTATTAATCAGATTGACAAGGCTGTAGAGCTGCTCAAAAGAACCATACTAATGCTGGAAATGTCAAGTGTTGTTGATAGAGAAATAGATTACTATTTGTACTGATTAGCCTACTGTAAAGAAAATACTTTAGGAAGACGTGAAATAAGAGCTTGAGGAGTCTAACTCGTTGAGGACCATATGCACCGTCTTCGGTACATAGTACACCGCGCTCGCGGCGGCCGCGGCGGCCGCGGCGGGCTGCAGAAGGCTTTGTATGGTATCATCACGCGCTTTCATGGAAATAGAAATGTATTTGTTGATTAAGGTTTTGAGGGACATTGTCAGCATTGAGTGATGAAAGATCACGAAAGCGACTTTTATAGAAGGTTCTTTGGTAAAAAGAAAAAGTCCATCTGCCGGAAACCATTCTGTGATTCAACAAATGAACCCACATCTTTTGGAAAGCAAACTTTCCTTTGATTGTCATCTAACACCTCCTTTTTTCCTCTTTGAACTATACTTTTGTACTCAATTGATAGACCGAAAGATGCTGATTTTCGGACTAAGCTGAATAATAGAACCGAAAAATGTTGAATGACAACTCGAAACCCCAATTTTTGCAAGTGTCTAGCTTTTCTCTTGGAACGCGAGATTCTAGAGAGGAGGGTCGGCAATATTCCTGCTGGCTTCAATAACCTCTTTCCTATCACCTCCTATGATTTGTTAGCAACTAAAATCCTTCCAGTGGTGGCAGAAATTTCATTAGAAGACTGCCACATTGTGACTGTAGCTCGCCCCCTCGCCGCTCGACAGCGTTGCGTGCCGCGCCCAGATTTCAACCTGGTCAACGAGTAGTTAGAGGATCTATGGAGGTGGAAGACTTACTAATCCTTAGATAAGGTTAGCAATGACTTCTACTGTAATTATCTTATTTCACTCCTGTCATATCTACTAGTATATGGTATTCCCAGACTTCAGCTCTAAGTTTCTTGAGCTTTTCGAGTGAATCTCTAATTTTAAAAGTGGACTACAAGGATGAGTGCCTTGTATCCACTCGCTGTACCTCAGTTCCATAAATCTGAACCATGCACAGTCCACGCGAATGTAAGATTCAATGATCTAATGTCCCATAATTATGGGAGGACCAAAAAAAGTAAACAGTGAGTGCTTAGGAAAATATTTATTACGTGGATGAACATGTTTTAAGTATTTTCTACTGAGGCTATGAGAGTGTCTGACGGCATATTGCGTGTTTCGAACTTTGATGAAGGCGGAGCCAACACTTCAGTTATCTTGCTGTGAAAAATCTTCCTAACAAATCCGTGTATGTTTATCAATGAAAAGTAGATTCAGTTTTTGAGCCACTTTGATGGCTAACCTTGCAGAAACGAATTTGTTAGGGGTTAGAGTGCGACATTTTTCCACCCTTGGTGAAGATGGTCGATCCCTTCAGCCACGCTCGTCATTCGCACATCATAGTGGAGAGAGGACATGCGAGGACGAACAAGTCCTTGAAATGTTGCCTAACTAGCCTGCTACAACGGTATTTATTCGGTTTTTCATTGGAAAGATTTTTGACTTTCGACTTCATTTTTTCTTTTTTATTCCTTTCACCCAAGAAGTTGATTTCTGAGCACCTTAAGACATCTTAATGTTTTGAATCTTTTTTTTAAAGTTAAATGAATCCCTTCTGCATGGAGAGCGATGAGTTTAGAAGGCTATACCACGTCGGCAATCCACAGTCCCAGTGGAATGTCATTTCGACAGAAAGTGACTTCATGCGATAATGCAGAGGACAATGTTGATGATAGTCGGGATTAGTACGCGTGCAAGTTAGTTGTCTTGATCGAGAAAATCTTGTTCAGGTGACTTTACTGACTGATTTGAGGTGGCTCTCGAAAAAACCAGGCCCATCGACCTACCGATCGGATATAAAAAAGAGGTAAAATCTTGATTTATCTCCGGCGGATAGTCAGTCTGATATTGTGACATCTTGTCGGAAATATTTTAGTGTCTAAAGACTTGGCTTATGTGTCTTGATTCAGTTATCATTTAGCTTCGCTGAGGTTGATGAAAGCGTACCATGCTGCTCAACCGACAAGGTTTTCTTTCCAAATATTTCTTTGCTTTTATTTCTTCATGTCCGTAGACTTACACTCGTTTACCACACTCATGTAATATCAGCATTTTATAAACATGTCATGTTTTTTTTCTTTTTCCACATATTTTACCAGTGATCTTCCAGTCGACGCAAGGCGCTTGAAGAAGAGGCGTCTGTCATGTAAAACGAGTACAGCGGATCCATGTGCTCAAATTACAAGCGACGAATATTGGCGCAGCCGTCGTGACAAGGCATGTATCCAGGTAATACTCGGTTTTCATGATTCACTGGAATTTTCATGGTTACAGGCTTTCATATATTCTCAGTTTTTCTTACTCATTTTGCAATAGTCTTTTTAGAGGCTGATTTCCCATTCGAGGATCACGACAGCCGTCCAAGTTAGTGGAGAAAGCCTCCAAAGTGTTAAGGACGGAAGCTGCAACCCTCGTAGGAGATGCCCGTACCGATGAGCACAGAAAGTCGGTCTCTTGTAAATGTAGTAAAGAATGGATTTAACATTCTGCGACAATACCCATGAGCAGTGTAACTCGCTGCTGATAAAGACGCGTCCATTTTATGTCTGTTGCTCTCTAGTGTCTTGTACGGCGAATGTTACTCATGTGTCTACTGTATTGTACTGACTGTGCTGCATTACTGCACTGTATTATTGTGCTGCATCACTGATATTCAATAAATACTGTTGTTATCACATCGAAACTGCTTAACAGAAAAAACTAGTGATTTATTTCAACTATGTCGAGGTTAATAGATAGTCGGTCTTGGGTCTTGTATGTCTGTTGCTCACAGTTCAGCGTTTTATGCGGCGAATGTTTTTTTTTTTAGCGTATGCAATAAATTTCGTTCTATGTGAACGTGTACATGTGATGGCCATATGAAGCTACAACACACTACGAATTAAATGGGCCAGACCTTCAGATTCCAAAGGAATCCTCTCTAAATTGTGACACGATATGTCCTTAGATTTTAGCGAGTAACACTTTCTATTCTGGACTCCGTTCTCATTTCACGTAAATTCCTTGAAGGCGTATTTTTCCATCAAACATGCTATCCTTAGATTAGATCGAAATCGTTATCTCAGACAGCAGTTGAACTGGCGTTTCACCGTTGCCGGGAGTGCGTGGAAGAGTGGCTGCAAAGCGGTAGCGCTGATGGTGCAGAGGTAGCACTCACCCTCCAGTAAGGGTGAAGCGCGGGTTCGAGTACCGCTGAGATTTTTGCTTTCCGTTCAATCGTCTCAGATGGAAATTTACGACATCGTAGCACTGCTGTAAAGCAGTGAAATAGAGGATTCTCATAGACTATACGTGTAGAAAAGTTCTTAATAGATTGGGGAAGAAGTTCTGAGAAAATGCTTGTAAAACATTTATTCCTGTACTTATTTCACTGAACAAAGACGAAACTAATAGTCAAACTTTTATTTTTACTTTTACTTTATTGATAAACACCATACTTTTGCCAACTGTGTCTTCGCCTCAAACCAAATTGATGAGCTCACTTGCCTATCATCGCGTTTGAACCCCACAGTCATTGGTGCATCATCAACAACCAATTTTGCTCGCTTCTTAACTCCATCCTGGAATAAATAGATAAGTTATAAAGCAGTCAACGCGGAAGAAGACGGGCTTTCAAATGAGTCCAAAAACACAAAAAATGGCCGACACCCAAAAAGTTACAAGCACTTTCTCAAAACTTTTTCCCCAACCTATTAGCCCAACTAGGTATGATGCTGGCATATGCTTACCAGACTATACGCGCTAAGGGTAGATTTTCGACACCCTTGGATAGTTCATATCGAAGAACGAGTGGCTGAAGTGTAGTGGTTCTGTTGTGCAGACGCTCGGTAAATGTGAAACGCTGGTTCGAGTTTACTTGAGGTCGAATTTTTTGCGTACTGCCCCATGTCCTAAGATGTATATTAAAAAATCATAACAGTGCTAAAAAAAAACTAAGAGAAATCTCAGTCAGATCACATACAGAACTGAATGCGATAATTGACGGCCCTGAGATGTGCCGATCGAGGTTGCGTCGTTATTGGTAGTATTGGTCGAGTAGTGAGGTGAGCATTAAGCAAAAAAAAACACGTAGATTTCATTTGATTTGTGATTACAACTGTACATGGGATGAATCCCAGTCAATCTTTTCGGGGACCGTTCACGCACTGCCTCTGCATCGCTAAGTAGCAACGCTGGACGTTCTACTCCATCTCCCCTGCATCTCTAACCCCCAGCGTGTCAGTGCTAAACACAGCACGCTGGGGGCCAGAGATGCAGGAGAGGCGGAGCACACCGTCCAGAGCTGACAGCTAGAGGCACAGAGTCTGTGGGTCCACAGTCCCGAATGGGTTATTCAATCGCTGAACTATCACGGTGCTTCGATCACGCTCACCACAAGAATTACCGTCGAGGCATGGATAAAAGGATAAAGGATGAAGCTCTCGGCGTTGATCAATCCCTGAGGGATGCGCCATGCATTCGACTTCAATTTTTAACTTCGTTTGAGGTGACTGAATGCATATCTGGCCTTTACAATGACTCGCGGAGGCCTCCCGCTGAACCGAGTCAGTGCTGCTTATCCTCCCAGACAAGTCTGAGACCTATCTGGTACCAATTTACCGACCCCGGAGGGATGGATGGCTTGGTGAGCCATGAGCGCGAGATCGAACCATTGACCTCGTGTGCGACGCAGGGTACCTCTTACCACTGCGCCACATGCGCTCAGGCATGGATAGAACATAGAAAAAAAAGTGTAAACCCTCGAACTGAGCGAAATTTGGCCACATTCCCACGTGTAAATTATCAAGCTGCATTTGTATCTGCTTTCCGAACGGGGCGGTTGAACGCCGCGGACCACTAAATTTGGAGTCCGGAGTTCTTACTGTAGTGTGAAACTCTGACCTATTCGAACAAATCCCACCTAATCGTACGCTTTTATTGAGTTAATGGTGACCCAATCGCAAATGTACGACCCAGTCGTAAAAAACGCGCTCTCCCACGGCTGGGTGAAAGAGCTGTAAGCCTTCGATTTCCGTTGATATGGGTTCAATCCCGAATTCTCCGAGTGGATTTCGTTCGTTTTTCTTTTGCTTAGAAAAAAAATTTTTTTCCAATTTCGTGCTTTCAGATGGATTCTATAAGTTCCCGTTGTCTTTTTTTCAATGCGATTTCTTTGTGTTTCGAATTTCGCGCGAAATTAATCTGTCAACTTATCTGTTTGCTCCAGTCTTAGTTCCAATTAGTCTCGTTGAATCAATCGTTAATTCGGTATAATAAACCCAATGATGTAAAGTGGTGTGCAAAAACGTTTGCATTAGCCGGGATTTGAACCCAGATCCAACTCTTTCCGATAGATAACGCGTCGAAGCGTAGAAAGAGTGGAGTGTGAAACGAGCGTTGGTGGTGCAAACGGTTTAGCACATGCTCTCGGAAAGAGTAAGATCTGGGTTCGTATCCCGGCTGACGCAAGCATTTTTGCACGCCACTCTACATCATTGGGTTTATTTAAAACATCATAACACCGCAGTCGGTGGTCAAATGAGATGCTTTTTCAATATAAAAAGTTTTGGTGCTTATATGTTAAAAGGATAAAAGGATAAAGCTCTCGGCGTTGATCAATCCCTGAGGGATGCGCCATGCATTCGACTTCAATTTCTAACTTCGTTTGAGGTGATTGAATGCACATCTGGCCTTTACAATGACTCGCGGTGGCCTCCCGCTGAACCGAGTCAGTGCTGCTTATCCTCCCAGACAAGTCTGAGACCTATCTGGTACCAATTTACCGACCCCGGAGGGATGGATGGCTTGGTGAGCCATGAGCGCGAGATCGGACCAGTGACCTCGTGTGCGACGCAGGGCACCTCTAACCACTGCGCCACATTCGCTCTTGCTTATATGTTATCCGGCGGTAAATTTTTAAGCCGATTTCATTCACAGGAGAGGAATTTTTCATGGGGCTGTTAGTAATCATTCTGTAGCCTAAATCTCTGGCTACAACTTTACGTTGCCGGTTTTTCAAAACTTCCTTTTGTAGCGTTTTAACATTCGGAATAAAACTTTGTTTCTCACTCGGCTTTGGCCTTCTTTTTACCACGAGTAGAAATCGATGGAAGCACGAAAGGCGTATCAGCGTGTGGAGAATTTTCCGTAGTATCAGAATCATGCTTCATTATCTAAAGTTTCCGTCGATGCGGCGAAAAAATCCTCACTAAAAGTAGGAATGGGTAGATCACTATCGAGCTACGCGTTATGTTGGGCGATAATCTTGCTAACAAGTCGTCGCTGTGACTTGCCTTCACATTTTACTAAGCTATAAATCTATCTGGCGACTTTGTTTACCGGCCAACTCATGGACCGCGCAAGGGGGGGGGGGGGGGGGGGTGGGGGCGACCGATCGCGTTTGGAATATTGTTATTCAATTCAGAATTTTTCGCGGTATCGACAAAATTTCCTATAGAAACGTAGATTCCGAGAGTACGAAAAATTCTCTACAAGCTGATGTGCTTTTCATGCTTCTAGCGATTTATACGCATGATAACAATGGGGGCGAAAAACGAGTGCGAAACATAATCTTATTCTGGATGCTACAGTATCATGGAAAGGTGCATTAAAAAACTGACAACGTAAAGTTGTAGCCAGTGATTTGAGCTTCATAGTGATTACTAACACTCCTATGAAAATCTCCTGTTCAGCGAATGAGATCGGCTTAAATATCTGTCGCCGCCTAACTTACAAGCCCTGGGTTTTTTTTGGTATTATTTTGTTAGTGTTCATTGATATATATATAGTTGCTTTTTATCTGATGAATATTTTTGAGCCATCATGTCATGTGGTCTTTTGTGGGCATCCAATCGAGCCCGATTACACGTGTTTCGGCCTCCACACCCTAGTCAGCCGGGGACTACCCTTCGTCTTTAACCAGTCCTTCGGGGGAACCCAAGCCTATAGAGAGTTAGCGAGACGATTTACACGTACCGTCAAGTGAAACGTATCACTAGATCGGTAGTGTTGTACACTCGATTTCTTTGGCTGATGTTTTTGAAATATTATACCGTTTGTTCCGAGTGTTCTCTTAAGACCACGCTCAAAATTTCAGTACATCTGATATTTATTTTCTAGTATTATGGAAAGGTGCATTAAAAAACTGACAACGTAGAGTTGTAGCCAGTAATTTGAGCTTCATAGTGATTACTGACACTCCTATGAAAATCTCCTGTTCAGCGAATGAGATCGGCTTGAATATCTGTCGCCGCCTAACTTACAAGCCCCTGGGTTTTTTTTGTTATTATTTTGTTAGTGTCTCATTAATATATATAGTTGCTTTTTATCTGATGAATATTTTTGAGCCATCATGTCATGTGGTCTTTTGTGGGCATCCAATCGAGCCCGATTACACGTGTTTCGGCCTCCACACCCTAGTCAGCCGGGGACTACCCTTCGTCTTTAACCAGTCCTCTCGGGGGAACCCAAGCCTATAGAGAGTTAGCGAGACGATTTACACGTACCGTCAAGTGAAACTGAATCACTAGATCGGTAGTGTTGTACACTCGATTTCTTTGGCTGATGTTTTTGAAATATTATACCGTTTGTTCCGAGTGTTTTCTTAAGACCACGCTCAAATTTCATTACATCTGATATTTATTTTCTAGTATTATGGACAGGTGCATTAAAAAACTGACAACGTAGAGTTGTAGCCAGTAATTTGAGCTTCGTAGTGATTACTGACACTCCTATGGAAATCTCCTGTTCAGCGAATGAGATCGGCTTGAATATCTGTCGCCGCCTAACTTACAAGCACCTGGGTTTTTTTGGTATTATTTTGTTAGTGTTCATCAATATATATAGTTGCTTTTTATCTGATGAATATTTTGAGCCATCATGTCATGTGGTCTTTTGTGGGCATCCAATCGAGCCCGATTACACGTGTTTCGGCCTCCACACCCTAGTCAGCCGGGGACTACCCTTCGTCTTTAACCAGTCCTCTCGGGGGAACCCAAGCCTATAGAGAGTTAGCGAGACGATTTACACGTACCGTCAAGTGAAACGAATCACTAGATCGGCAGTGTTGTACACTCGATTTCTTTGGCTGATGTTTTTGAAATATTATACCGTTTGTTCCGAGTGTTTTCTTAAGACCACGCTCAAATTTCATTACATCTGATATTTATTTTCTAGTATTATGGACAGGTGCATTAAAAAACTGACAACGTAGAGTTGTAGCCAGTGA